ATGCCTTGCTGCAGGGCTCTGATCCAGAAGGGGTAGCCCTGGTTGCTGTTGCTATGTTAATAATAATAATTGTTTTGGATTCCCAGTTTAGAGGGTAAGCAAATAAACATCTGCTGGGATCAATACATAGAACTAGGTTGCTGCAGCATCCACGAGCTGCCCAGTTTGTTGACACACATGCTTTAGTTCATGCCACCTCTCTGCTTTTCTCTCCTTCCCCTCCATTCCTCTGGCATCGGCGCATGTTCTATTTTTAAACTGTGCTGCGCTCTGTATTGCGGCATTTCTCTTCTTGAATTATTTATCAGTGTTTGGAGCTGAATGGAGTGTGGTACGTTTTTTCCACTGCTCGTTACTGCCCACGTGTCTGTCTTGAGCCATTGACAGATTTGGTTCATGTCAAATCACGCCAGCCTCGGCTTGGAGAGGGGCTGGAGGGGATGATGGGGTTTAGTTGCAGCCTGTGCCAGTGCAGGATCATTCAGATCTGTGTGTGTTTAATACTCTCCTTGCTGGGGTAGACAGGGAGGGTATGGTTGCCATGATAACACATCCTCAGCTGAGCCAGATTTGAATGGAAGGTCCCTTTTTATAAAATAAAAATTCTATTTTACTGCCTGGAGACTGGCTTCAGCCTAGGAAGAAGACACCTCCATGCACGTGTGTGTGCATGCACGTGCAGAGAAGACAGCATCAGATTCTGTGCGCAAGGCTGAGGTTGACTCAAAGCTCCTTGGGGGTGGGGGGTGGTGTTTAATTTTTACTTAGTAGAAGATGGTCATTTCTTTTAAATTTAAAACGCTTCTCTGTTCTTCCCTGCCATGTCCAGTGCAGGCACCCTTATCCATCAGAGATGGCAGCACAGCCTTTAAAAGGAGCGGGTGAGCAAGTTGTTTCATCTCTGAATGTTTTTTCCAGCTATACACTAAACTTAATTTGCCCCTTCTGCTTTCTTTGAGTGTCTCTCAGCATTTATATTTTCTCCTGCTATCCCTTTTTTTCCCCTCTTCTGGCTCTCCTGTATTTTGCTTTTGTTTTGTCCCTCTGAGCTGATGGAATGAGCTACTCTGCATCCCTGCTGCTTCTGGACTTTCTTCCTAATGGAGCTGGGGAGACTGCTGTCCTTTCGGTCAAATAGGAGGAGGAAGGGGTCTGGCTGGAGGAAAGAGCTGCCCTGTCGCTTCCTTGCTAGAGGAGGTGTCGGGGAGAGCAGAGGCAGCAACTCTGCCTACCTCCCCTTGCAGAGTCACTTCAGAAATGTCTGCAACTGGAAAAGTCATTCAGTGCCATGTTCAACTCCCACATTGGGAATGTCTTGCTGGCATGGAGCAAGCATGTACTTACTGTGTGCTGACTCATTAGTGACATGAAGTTTACTATGTCTTTATGTTCTTGGCATAAAGGGGGGGGGGCTAAAGGGGGATAGAATTTAGAGGGCGAGGCAGTCCCAGTAGCAGTTGAGCAAGGGACTGGACAGTGCACGTTTATAAATGCCGAAGTGCAGTAGATGCAGCTTGCAATGAGCACTATGGCTTTGAGCAGGCGACTAGTGCAATCTTCTGCAGCACACTGTGAAAACGCAGTTGTGATTACTGCTAAGTTAAATGCTTTAGTCCAATGAAACCCAAATCTCGGGCAGTGTGCTTTTTTTCTGCTAGGCTCCGAAGTGAAGTACTAATTCTGCCTTACAGTCTAATTTCCAAATTCTTCTCTCTTAGGCCAAGTAAGCTTCTTCAAGCGTTCTTGTATTGTTTCTCTTAGTTTCAGGAGTCCCACCCCTGTCATCACCTTGGTTTTATAGGTCCTGGGTGTGTAAGAGTAGCAGGTGCCTTTATTTTATGTGTGTTCCTGCAGCACTTGGAGTGACACTGATTCCCAGCAGCAGGATGAACTGAGGACAGTGTAGGCCAGGGCTTGACTCTTGGATCTTGCTTCTTTGGACATAACCCAAATTTGTCTCTTTTCTGGTAGTAGAAGCCGTTCAGACAGAGTTCTTGATGGCCTGAGTTTCTGTGTCCTCCTCAGAATGTTGTCCTCCTCACAACTCTCTGACTTGTGACTTTTGGGAGCGGAGCCTCCACTGTGCAGGTACTTTTTTTCTTTTTTTTTTTTTTTTTTCTTCAATCTACCCCTTGTTCCTTTATTGTGGCCTCTTCTGAGGAGACCTTGGGCCTGATAAAAACATGCTAGTTGTAGGACTTATGTGGAGAGAAGTGGTCATAGTCTCGATGAGGAATCCTGGCTGTTCTCCCTTTCTTCCACTTGTGTGCCCCATGGAAAAGGATGAGTAAGACCACAACATCCTTTCTGCAGCCCCAACTGTGGCATTTCTGCTGGTCTCCTGCTTTCAGCTTTTCCATGGGTGCCTGCTCTGGTTCTGGATGTTCATGGAGCTGTTCTCACACAACATGTTAGAGTAGGTAGCTCCCAGCAGCAATGTGCTGCAGTTCTCAACCTTCCCACATCTTCCAAACACGAAGAAGTCTTTCTGCTGCATACACACTCCTGCAAAACAAAATAAAACAAGCCTGTGGCCTGGAGGACTTATGAAAGATGTTTGACTTGCCATGTGTGGTGGTTATTATGGTGTCTGCCTAAAAGTGTTTCCTGTCCAAGCTGATCCCTTAGCTCAAATGCTTGGTGTATACCTGGCAGCACTCTGAAGTTGAGTCACATAGGCAGCCAGCTTTCCAAATCTCTCCTGCAGTCTGCATGCTCATAATGTCCTTGGAAGTGTATGGTGTCTGGAGTGTGTGTTTCTACCTATATACACTTTAGTAATTAATGATCGCTTGCAGCCTGCTGCTGGATGCAATGAGCAAGGTCAGTTCCAGCCCAAAGAACAGTCTGTGATACAGTTCTCTAACTGCTTGAGGGTTCCTTTCTCTCTCTCATCCCCATGGTGCTGTGGTGGCTGAGGCTGGCACAAGTGAGAGCGCTGGTGTTTGATATGCCTGCAACGAGGAGTCTGTTCCAGGCTCTTTTGTTTGGGTTTTTTCCCTTTTCTAAGGGGAGAGGGAGTTTTCTGGTCTGGGTGGGTAAATGAATGAATTTAAGTCCATTGGTAATGCTCTTCTCCCTTTCCAGCTGCTGTAGGTGTCTGATGTAGGCTACCTGGTATGTCTGTCACATGGGGGAGCCCAGTCCTGGGCTGATGGTGGGGGTTTGCACCAGTGCCATCCCACCATCTTGGTGTCATGAGTCTTGACTTTTTTTCCCTTTCTGATGGGATTATATCCACTACCTAATTGACATGTCTTCTCTCAACAGAAGCTGGGCTGGGCAAATTAGAGCCCAGGCTCATTTGATATGTCTGCCAGGGAGGGAGGGAACATGTCTTCTTGCTTTTTTCTTTGTTTGCTCTGCGATATTACTATGTTAGGCATAGGCAGCTTCCCTGCAAGCTGGGAGCACAGACAATACCTAGAGCTGCTGCATCTTTTCTGTGCCCTGCTTTCACTGACCTAGTTTCATTGTGTGCATGTGCACACACACACACGTGAGATAAATAAGCAAATGGCTCTCAGGTGTGAAAGGCAGGAGCCCTCTCTGTAGGGCTTTGTCCAGGCTGCTGGTGGGGCTGACTTGCTCTTCCTTCTCCTCCTCCTCCCACGCAGGATTTACTGTCTCCCCATCTAAGGAGCAAGATGCAGCTTAGGAAATCCTCTCACACACATGTGCTTCATGAAGATGAAGTGCTGCCGACTCATAGTGACAATGGGCAGTGATTTTGGAAAGAGCTGGACAAGCCCGCAGGAGGCTGTGTCTGTGCTGTCTAGGGCAGGTGCTTGTGTCCTAGGGCTGGAAGGCTTTCTCAGAAATTTGTCCTTGCTGAGCTGGCTGCCAGGCATCTAAGTGCTAGAGATCAGGTTTGCAGGCTCAGGCTTCTTTTCTTTCTGCCTTAGTATCAATCTGAAGAAGTGACAATGGAGTTTCAACAGAGGGTCCTAAGCTTATTGTATGTTTTTGCTTGCGTAACATGCTCTGCTAGCTGGGCATCTTTGAAAACAGAAAGACCTGGTAGAAGGGAAGAACAGCATCCAAAGTTCCCTTCTTTTATAGGACTAATCTTGCCACTGCAGGGGTCCAGAGTAGAGGATGCCAGCAACTGTCCTTAATGATCCTGAGTCGAAATGCAGCAGACCACAGATGCTCCTTAGCAAAATAAAGCTCCTAGTTTCACTAGGTTTTGCTGAGATTTTAAGGCTCTGTCTACATGGAGCAAAGATCCTTGGCCTGGGGAGGGCATGCTGAAGCACTGCTCCTGAATCTGAACTCCTCTGTCCCTTTCTGTTGCTTCCTCATTTGCAAAGTAGCTGCCAGAGCTTCTTCAGGGCTCAGAACTCCAGGTTTGGAACTCCAGGTGCCTGCCTGGGTGCTAGGTGACAGGAATAAACAAACTCAAAATAGATGAGTTAAAAACTGATGCTGAGTTGTAGCCTAATCTCTGAATCTTGCAGCTTTGCTGGGTTCAGCTGCCACAGGGAGTCACTCTGAGCACATGCTTTCTGCCAGGGGGTTGTGAATGGCCAGACTGACTTCCAGCTAAGCAATCCATGGAGCCGTTGCAAATGCAGTCACTTGCTACCTCTCAGGGCTTGCTGTGCAGCAGACTTGAGAAACTGCCATAGCAGAGCCTGTGAGCTCAGCTGAAGGCCCTCATCCTACAAGCTTGCACTGCGCAGACAGTGGTGACTTTTTTCTCAAAGAGCTTGGGAGATCATGGTTCAGTTTCCTTGGACAGGCACATTTATTTAGAAAGTCCTTTGCAGAATTGGGAGGAAAGAACTTGAAGTGGCCAGAAATAGGAGGCATAAAAGGAACTTGAATCCTTTGGATCTGTCTTCTTGCACCTTCTCTTGGGGAAATCTCATACAACATCCATGAAGCCTTTGCACTCAGCCAATGTGGGGGTTGATTAATTGTGGCCCTCCACTTGAAAACACTGGTATAGCACTGCAACTGACTTTTGTCTTATCACCCCCTGTCTTGCCCCTCTGTCATTCCTTTCTCTCTGGTTCTCTAGCCATGGGACCCCCTCTTCAAATGTCCGTGTTGCTGTGGGCAGAAGCAGGGAGCTGTTTACTGCAGCCAGGATCACAGCAGTTTCAGCAGGAAGAGGAGGACAGCCAGCCAGGAACATTCACCTGCTTTCTGCATGGGCATGACAGGCCTGATTCAGAAGGCTTTGAAGCAGGTTGAGACAGAAGCTCATGCATACGTTTAAACTTAAGTCCTTTGCACAGCAGGGCTGCTTTACAAACTTTAACCTCTATTTGTCATGGAGCGGAAATGTATCAGGTTTCTGTTGTCTGTCTCCTTGCTTTTTAAAAGCTTTATTGGACTGTTTCTTTGGCTGTAGCAGGGGATCGTTTAGAAGAAACTGCATTAACTTAGCAAAAGTGGTAAAGGCAAGTCCTGAAGAGAGGCTTTACCAGCACAGCACTATGCTATTTGCAATGGATGCTGTCAGTTAAAGCAGTGCATCTCAACCTTTTTGCAACTGTCTCACTTCAGCCTCTCCATCTCCTTCAGCCCAAGGCTGATCCTGCCTTCTCATCTTCATCTCCCTTCTCTTCAAAGCTTTTGCCTTTAGACAGCTGCCCTGTGAGGCCTGCTACCCCTTGCTCTGCTGCCAGCTCCAGCACTGCCAGAGCTCAGCCTGAGCAAGGAACCTCCTCGAGACCAGCTGCTGACCGAGCTGATTGTATTTGAAGTCAGCACTGGCCCCGCAAGAGCGCGCGCTCTTCAGCTCTGGCTGCCCCTTGCCTAGGATGGGCTCCTGCCCAGCAGGAACTGTTGGTGCAGAAGAAGAATGATGCCTACCTGCTGTTGACCAGTGTTTAGGGCTGTAGCTGGAAGATCTCCGTAATCCAACAAGAAGCAACTTCTGAGCCTAGCGAGGGACAGGATGTGCTTGTGCACCATGCTTGGCAATGCTGCCTTGCATGCTTGAGAGTAAATTTTAGTATATGGACAGGAGACTTGATCGCAGCCTGTGTGCCTGTAGACTCACCAGGTCTGGGATGGAAAATCACTTTCTGGGGAAAATTTAAGCAAGTGAGAGGTTTAAAACCTCTCTAGTGCCATTTGTGTTTCTTGTTTCCTGTCTGTCAGTATGTAGTCACTAATAAATAAGCAAGAAAAAAATAACTGAATTGAAATGAAACCATTAACAAACTGACCCCTTGGAAACATTATGGCAACAATGATAGTGAAGCAAAGCTGCCTGTAACCTACCTTGGCATGTGTAGGGCGTTCTGCAAAGTGTAGTCCATGCACTTGAATTCTTCTGGAAGATGCTGATGTTTACTGTGGTATCTCTTCTTTGCTCCTGCACTTACATTTGTGTTGCTCCAGTGCCTGACAGGGGAAGGATGCTGTGTCTTTAAAGCCTTCTCAGGGCTGTGCGGAGGCAGTTCCATTGAAGTATTTGAATGAGAGCAAGAGGGGGGTGTGCATGTGGCTATTGGCAGAGCTCTCTGACATCCCTCTGAACAGCTGGGCTCTGCTTTGCTTCAGAGCTGCTTGTCAGAGCAATTAGCTTGCTGTAGCAGCAGCAAAGATCGCTAGCATTTTATTCAGGGTTGAGAGCTGGCGGGGGCTTCTTAGAAGCGATATTATCTTGGCAAAATTCCTCTTGAACTGGTTGTGGCAATGAAGTCTCCGTTGAAATCAGGAAACAGATGACCTGCTGAGAGTGCAAAACCACCACGGTGAGTTTATTTTTAGAATAAGTCTTCAATTATTTTGGGCTTGAGAAAGATTGACCAGAGACTTTTCTTTTCCTCTCCCTGTACCCCCACCATGCAAAATACAGTATAGGTATAAGTGCAAGCAAGTGTTTCAGGGATGGGGACCTGACATCATTCATCTCTGGTAAGTAAGTGACAGGATTTCTGCTGCTTGATGGGGTTAATTTAAAATGGTGCTGTACTAAAATGAATATGTGGCTCTGTGATCTCATTCAAGACTTGAGAGTGTGAGATGAGCTTTCTCCTTTCTCTTTTTGTGATGCTGGGGATGCACCTACAGGAGACAGGGGAATCCCCAATAAGCATACTGTACTCTTCCATGTCATTAAGGAGTTCCCTGTGACAGTCTCATGGGTTGTCCTTGTGTCTTAGCTTGGTGTTCATGCAGCTTGCTCCTGGGTAGTTTCTGTTCATTTTGCAAAGGCAAAATACCCACTGCTCTTCTGCTGGGTTATACGTTAAAGGATTTGCTTGTCTGAAGCTGGCTAGTTGATGAAAAATGTTGACTAGTTAATTGGCTATGTGCCATATGACATTTTCAGGTTAGCTTATGCAATTCAGTGTTCTGTAGGACTATATTGGTGTTCACATATATATTAACCCCATTTTTAAATTATTTTAAACCTGTCACTGAATTGGGTTTGGGTTTAGTGGAATCAGGACTTTGGATTGCCTTTACCTCCTTCTCATACATGTTCATCATCCAGTCTTGCCTAAAAAACAAGTTACTGGAAATGATGCTCCCTTCATTTGAGATTTAGTGCTAGGAGCTGGTTTTCTTGGGCTTGAGGTATTAGCCAGTTACTGTACTGCAGGATCTTCATTCAGGTGCATTGGACCTGTTTCCTTTCCCTTCATGTCTTTAAAATGCTTATTTAAACTGGAAGCATCACCTGTGGCTTGAGGATCTGCAAACAGCAACAACAGCTGCTGCAATGAATGGTGAGCACTTCAGCAGGTGAAGACTGAGTTCATCTTGCTGAAGGCTGTGGGAAAGTAGGAAGAGGAATATCTTACCCACACTTCAGACTCCCCCTTCACTGTCAAGTCCAACTCTTGCAGCTGGCAGCCAAAAGATAAAGTTGATTTTTTTTTTTCTTTTAATCATCACTCTCCTCTTTGTTCAGTGATCAGATCAATTTCTGGATCCCACCTGGAAAACAGCCACAGTGTCTTGTATTTGCTGTGTACCCCTTGGCTACTTAGTGTGTCAGGTGGCTCACTATCCTCTGCCAGCATGGTGAGAAGCAGTAACATCAGCCTTGAAAACAGAAAGGGGGATATAGATAGCAGCCCTGCTTTTTGCCTTCCTCCCAAGGAGGTTTGCCAGGAACTGGAATGCTTTGGGTCTGATTAGTAAAGTTTGAGGATCTGCTTTGCCAGCCCAGGTCAGCTCAGGAATGGTAAGCTAGACTGGGGAATACCTTGCGCTTTCAGCCAGCTTTTTAATCTTTGTGCTTATGCTTCTAACTGGTGCAGGCATGGCACAAGAGAAGTGTGCCAGCAAGAGGATAAGAGCTATTTCTAATGTGCATTTTTCCTGAGCCTGGTTGCCACCTCTGTATCTGCAGGTGTCTCCTACCTGATGTGGTATTTCATTATGGATGAGTTCAGGTGGAAGGAATTCTGTTTGGGGTTCTTTGAAAGAATTAGGACATGTGTCAGTGGGAACTGTGCCAGGGTTTTCTTCTGAGCCATGGAAGGGTTAACAGAAGTTCCTGTTCAATGCTGTCCTATTGCATCTTGACACTGTAGAAAGTAGGTGGATAATTCCTTGCTAGCTTTTCAGGAAACCCCTGTGGTGGACAGCCCTCATTAATTGTTGCTGGGAAACTGCTTTGACGTCATGGGAGCAGTTCCCTGGTCTTCAGATGAATACAGGAATAGCTCATGATGGGGAAGGGAAAACCGGTGTGAAATGGAGAAGGGAACTCTGACGGGGAGATTCTCATCTGAGATTTATCTTTTCTTTCTCCCAGCATTCTGCCTAGGGACCCTCAGAGGAACTGTCCACAAAAATTTACAGCATTATATTTGGACCAAACGTAAGCCCTTCCTTCTCAAGAACTGTTGATATTGATGGCTTCTGTGATTCTTTCACTTTTTTAACTATTGGCTGGTTGTTTGTTTTTTTTTTTCTCCCCCAGATTTTGTAAACAAGGGGTGAGAGGGTTCTTGCTTGGCTTCACTGCAGCTCCCAAAATAAAAAAAGAACAACAGCATCACTGTTTTGGTTAGTTTGTTTTTAACATCAAACAAATAATATCCCCTTAGACTAACAGAAGGAAGAGCAGACGGACTGAAGATGGCTGCTATTGCTGTGAACTTCAGGCTAAGAGAACTTCTAAGGCTGAGACTGTTTAAACCCACTGTCTTTAGTATCAATCGAATTTTCTTTCTTTGCAAATCCTCTTGTGGTGTTTGTGCAGTAGGCTCCTTTCTCCCAGTGTTGTCCTATCTGTCCAACCTGTCAGCTTCTGGGAGGTATGCAGAGCTGTGGGCGTCTAATAACTGTATAAGGAATTCTCTGCGTCTCCTTTTCCATGCTTGCAAAATAGGTGTAAGCAAAGTTTACCCGTCCAGTTTAAAGTGCTTAAGAGATTTTTGTACCCAGAAGTGCTGTAGAGCAGCAACGAATGTACTGGGTTGCTGATTGAGTCTGGTGTTTCCAGCTAGGGCACTAGAGGGCTTGAAATGCAAGTAAACTGTCTAGCAAAGAGCTGACATCAAGGTGCCTCAGTGGTGGGAGGAATGAGGCACCGCTGTCGATGTTGAGCAGGCACTGCAAACAGAGCTCCATTCTCCTTTTCTTGTCAGGTCACTTGAACATAAAAGCAATTCCAGTGCACGGTGCCGTAACAGTCAATAATGGATGCATTATTTTAAACTGATTTTTTTAACAATTTGTCATGGTTGCTCACTTGTATCTTCATGTGATAACTCCCTCCACACATCGTTTTCTCCTCTCGATGCATACAAAAAGGAAACATGCATCAAAAGTCAAGGAATAAGCCTAGTCGGGGTGGGGAGGAGGCTTTCAGTGGGGTCGGGGGATCTTTACAGCCTCTGGCTTTGGTGCTGAACTGAATTATCTTCCCCAGGAGATCTCCAGCATGCCTGAATCCAATGATTGCCGCCTTTCTGTGCCGTCAGCATTTCACAGCAGAAATGAGGTGGGAGTTCTGGTCTTGCATAGCATATAGGCTGCTTTTGGAGTAAAAAGAAAGGACCTGAATATGCAGGCAATCAAGCTGGATTCTCTGAGCACATCGGTCAGCTCTACATTGAAGTTTCCTGTCAGGCATATGGCAACTCTTCCTGCTGCTGCTACACCCAATCAGCAATTTTCATGTACAGGGAAAAAACCCAACGCACTCTTCCTCTGCCGTTTTGCTTTTTTCCTTTGGTTGTGAGCCCCGAGTCCCTCAGCTGACTCAGTGATGGCAGCTGACTGGATTGTGCAGTGGACATTGCCATCTTTGTATTCCTGGCAAATGAACAGAATCTGTGTTAATTCACTGACATAATTTCTCCCCTCCTTGTTGGTTCATGTGGCAAGGATTTTTCCAAGCATTACACCTTGGGGATGGCAGGGTATGCTGGGATACCCTCTTAACTGTAGTAGGGAATCAATCCTTCCTTGGTTTGATACTTGCTCCCATTCTGAAGGATCAGGGCTCTGTTATGAGTGGAATTTATCTCCTTTGCTACTGAAATTCAGCCACCTCTGACATGAAAGCTAGCAATTTAAGCTGCACAAAAAGAACAGTGTGGCCTTTGGGGCAAGAAGCAAAGACCTGTGTTGAGTGGGAACATCTGGAATCTGGAGGGGGGAAAGAAATTAATTGTTCTGCTTTGAATGTTTCTATCCTGAGACAAGTGCAAAGGGTTCTACTGTGAGCTTTTCCTTCCACAAGAAGCTGGATCTCAACACAACAGACACCAGATTAAAAACTGCAGAATCCCCTGCAGAGCGCGTGGAGGCATTGGGTAGGTGGCTGGACACGTTCATGTTTCGGACGTGGTTCAACTGCATCTTTTGTTTTCTTCCATCGCAGGGAAGAACAAATATCTCCTCCAGTCCTAAAAGGACTTAGGCCTTCCATGTGCTGCCCAGGGCACTGCATTGCTTACCTTACAAGATCTGATGAAGTTTCTGTCTTAGGCCCAGATGTTGTTCTTCCCATCCTGTATGAGGGCCTTGTTTTCATGTTGACGATGAAAAGAAAAGCAACCATGACTTAAGTTAAAGTGGCATTTTCCTGATTGTTTGGTGCAATGGAACTTGTGTGGTGGAACCCTTCTTCTGCCTGGAGCTCATCTGTGTGGCAGGCAATTACCTCTGCTGTGTACTGCCTTCACAGTAGCTGCTCTGCCTCATGTGTTTTCATTTAAGCGGTGCTTTTTGTTTTATCTTCTGCTGAAATACTCATTTTCAGTGAAAACTACTCCATTGTGTCTAGGCAAGATGTGTTGTTTTAATAGCAGCTCTCAGGCTGCAATAATGTAGATGTTTACCCATCCCCAGAGTGCTGTGGTCCCAAAGGCTTTGGCAAGGGAGGCCCTGCTGCATTCTTACTGGTTCCATGCCTTCCTAGGGACTGTGGTGCTGCCTGTTATTTTGATGAACTAAGATCCCTAGATAGAGTAGGTAATTCACAAAAGTGAGGGAAGTGAACCTGCCCTGGGGAGGTGGCAGCCTGCTCATGAGAATGCCATTTGTCAAACGTGCAATGAGTCTTCAGCGTTGACGCATCCTTCCTGAGGCAGTGCTGGAAAGCCCCTGGTACTACAGTGTGTGTCCTGTTTACTGCCTTCCAAGGAGCCAGCCTCGGCTGTGACAGCAGCATTCTGGATAGAAACCCTGAGTTGCATCCAGGTGGAAATGGCAGGCTATTAAAGTTTGGCTTTTCAAAGCCCACACGCAAAGCATGCTGTACCTTTTTGATTCTCTCTTTCCTGATATGCCAACGCACCTTTATTGTTCTGGCACATTTGATTCCTGTGTATCACATGAAGATGATTTTGGCAGTCCTGGCACCAGTTGTGTCACACTCTTGGAGTACAGTAATAGCAAGTTGACACCTATCCTGATTTTAGTGCTTGCACTGATTGAGGGAGGTA